GTCTACGGTCAAGAGCCGGGGGTTTAGAATAACCCTCACATACGTATACATGTACGCTCTACACATACGCACATTGTATAGACGCACACTTACGTATGTGTATATTACACATACACGTATACCAGCAAGAAATAGCGCCTTTCGCAAACAAGCGGCCAAAGTAACAAGAATCCCATAATATTAGCGGATGTAGGAATGAGACCAACACGGAAACCAACAAAAGCAAAAACCAAGAAGCAGAGAGCAAGGAGCAAAAGAAACCAAGCAACCGCGAAGAAAGCCCAGGAGGGGGAGGGAAGGGCCACACCGGAGCTGCACAAAGACATGACCTCGGCACCGCCGAACACAGCTTTGGTGCGAACAAAAGACCTCGCTGCCGCCGATCCCCACCAACAAAGACTTCGAGATACTCCTCCATACGAACGGAGCCGCTAGTGAAGGAATTTTGATGTGAACTAAGCGGACAGGAGTTGCATCTGTTGCCGCTTGAATTCTTTACTCCCTGCAGCCATGGGTCGGACATCAGCAGCGGTGCAATCAAGTTGTTGAAGCGCACGAAGCCAGTCCGGACGAAGCGATACCTGCACAACATGCCTGCTGAAAAAACAGACAGCAGCAAAAAATGCCCGGCCTGGTGGCCCATCGCCAAATGAAGAGAATCGCAAATGTCAGGCTTAGAAGAGCCGTCTTCCACCGGCCTTTCCAGCCGGCGGAAATGGGACCTGATCAGGAGGCCAGTTTTCTGTCGGAACCAAAGAAGCCCACTTTGTGCCTGCAGTCAGATCATAGCAGCTCCTTCGTGGATGATCCTGTGCAAACGTCTGGTTGTGCCGGCTCACGCTTCCAATAAACCCATTTTTTTGACTGAACGACGCTCCGAGCTTCTCGTCCTTCATGACCGCCAGCTTCAGGCAGCATGGCGCTGGCAGCGTCTGCAATGGCTTGTACAGCCCTTGTCATTGAAGCTCAGTCAGCTAAAAAAAGTGGAACACGCTTAAGGTTCGAGAACCTCAGGTGTCAGGTCGATAAACGCTGATCATAGTAAATCCGTTCAGAGATCCCCGGCAACTTTGGCCAAGCTTGAACGGGAAAGAGAGCAACCCGGCCGCGCCGCCACAACAACACGACGAGGTGGATGTCGCAAAATGTTGCATTCAAAACACCAAGCAGACAGCTACTGCCGCGCCAAGCCTTAAGATTCCGAACGTTTAGAATGCTGTCACGAATTCCAGACCGACACCTTGCAAGAGCTCAGTCTGAAGAAGATTCCCGGCAGATGCAATGAGGGGAAGTCGCACTCGAGAACTTCTGGCAACGTGTCCGCGTCACTGCATGCTGTGCAAGTTTTCCGCACAAGTTTCAACGCACCATGGCTGTGCAGCTCTGTCCCCATGCCCGTAGCCGTTCCAATCCACCTCCCCTGTCGTCCTTCTCCTCCTCCTCGAACATTATCCTCTTCAGCATCGTCATCGTCATCACAATATTCACAATGATCAACATCATCAACGTCATCATCCTCCTCGTCACCGCCACCACCACGATTGTCGAAGACACCATGGCTTTCCCCAATTATCCCACATTATCCCACTGTCACCATCAACATCGGCAGTCATCGGCAGTCACAGTCAGTACGCACATGAGAGGCCCGAAAACTCCGAAAATAAAACGGAGCATGACGAGGGTGACGAAAACAATGACAAATGGTGACGATAACGAGGATGATGAAAATGATGCGGATGACGGTGCTGGCGCTGGGACTGCTGTTGGTGTTGATAAAGATGATGCTGATAATGATGCTGATGATGATGGTGATGGTGGTGGTGGTGGTGGTGGTGGTGGTGGTGGTGGTGGTGGTGGTGGTGGTGGTAATGGTGCTGGTGCTGGTGGTGATGGTGATGGTGATGGTGATGGTGATGGTGATGATGATGATGATGACGATGATGATTGTGTTGATGATGTTGTTGATGTTGTTGATGTCGTTGATGATGATGATGGTGGTGGTGGTGATGATGATGATGAGTGTGGCCGACGGTCGCCATGATGACGGTTAGCACGACGCCAATGGTCAAGAAATATCGACAGACAGCCTCAACAACAGCAACAAGCCACTCTTTACAGCGCCATCACGGGACGGACAACGCATCAATTGCTGCCGCGAGTGTTGCTTCGTGTCTCTGAGCGACTCATACAGACACACTTCCAGCGTATGTCAAAGCACGACCACCCGCGAATTCAAGGGTAGTGAGCAGTGAACCCTTCGTGTGCTTGGTGCTTCGATCTACTGGCTGGCTTCGCCCAGAAGGCTACACAAGTTTGGCTGTCAGGGGCTAAGGCGGCTTGGCACTTGTCTGTTTGCAACATCTGGGGCTCGCACCTGAACGTCAAGACCTTTGCTGAGTTAATTCGAGGTGAAGGGCGCAAAACAAAAAGGCTGCCCTCAACCTGTGTTTGCTCGTGATATTCGTGAGCTCGGGCGTCCAACAAGAGGTCTCCAGCACACACTGGCACGGAACCACCCGGCCACCCTTTTTGCACAAGCAAGGCTTCTGAGCATGCATGTGTTGGTGAGACCGCTTCGAGGCTTGAGGCTTGCAAAGCACTCCAACAAAGTAGAGGGAGACCATAAAAGGCGATGGCGGGTTCGCGCGCTGAAAACTCACGCCTATCGTCTGGCGTAAACTTCTCCAAGGATCTGCACCGGGCGCATCGGCTGCACGGAAAGCTGCGAGAAAGCTGCGGCCCCAGAGGTCGCAGCTTCTCGAAACAAACCGCTTGGCTCTTTTTTGCCGCAGCGGGCCTGCGCAAATCTGGAGTCCCAAGTGAAACTTCAAGGAAATCCTCATTGGTTCTCCTTAGACGGAGCTACTCTCAGCAACGTCGCACCGCAAGTCCACATGATCATTGACATATCTGCACTTGCGCGATGCCCAGGTGCAATGATCTTCCTGACAAACTCTCCGTACTCGCATTCACCACCTGGGCAAGGGACCAGGCCCCGGGACACATGAAAGCGACACAGGAAAGAATCATGACTCTCCCAAAGGGCCAGGTGACTGTTGTCATCGTCGGCAGCTTGAATCATCTCCTCGGCCCTGAGTTACATGAGTCGTCGGAGGCCGTGACGGGAAGAAAAGACCAATGTTTCTTCTTCACCGCAGCAAGCGAAGCTCCGCTGCTAGCAATGTCACCGGCTGCGAGAGAGGCTGGAACGAGCAGTTTCAGCTCTTCGCCGGCTTTGGCTGGCAGGACTCGAAATATTCCGAAGCGCAAGCATATTCCGAAGCGCGTGCCAAGGGATACTGGTAAAGAGGGCTTGCGCACTTGGATCCTCTGACGCACCGAGCAAGCAGGCAGGAGAAGCAGGGGTCACAGGCATCAAACAGATTCGGGATGTTCTAGCTTCGGAATCATCTCAGCTCCCAGCTGCAACGGGTTCACCTGCAAGTGTCAAGCAAAGCCCTAATGTCCTTATGTACTTGCGTGTGGCCCGGTGAGCACCGTGCTCCATTCTGAAACTTCCCCTCTCGCCGCTCGCCTCGAAACCCAGCTTGCAGAGCACATCTTGCAGCTCGATTGCATCGATCGTCCCGCTCTTGTCCTGCCCCATCAGGACAACAACGACGACAACAGATGGACACCCCAAGAAGCATCTCCTTGTCAAAGATTTTGAAGGCATTCACCAGCTCGTCTTCGGTGATCATCGACCTGTCAAACCTCGCAACCCGACTCGGAACACTCTGCCGAAGGCTGAGAGTGTCGACCCTCCTCGCTACAAATTTGAACCAGATCCCTATCAAACGCAGACGAGCCCACTTGGCCATGAGCTTCACGAAGCCTCAGCTTGACGCAAGCAGACGCCTTGCAACACGTCGCACGGGGGAGCCGTGGAATCGCAAGCAGCTGCCGCTGCTTGTCAGTCGAAGCACGCTGGAAGTCCAGGATCCCCTTGCCGTGGCTATCGATGTCATTCATGACCTCACGAAGCAGCAAAAGACTGTACTCTTTGGCGGAAGATACCATGGGCGATAGTGCACAGACGTCTCTATGACTCAATTGCTGCTCAGAGGCTTGCAAGAACCTGGATTGCAAGTACAGGCCACCGAACTCATGCCTGGATCAACTTGTCCGAGTCCACACTCCAACTGAGCTTGGGCGCTGCCGATCTGTAGGCTCTTCTCCAAGCCAGGCTAGGGCAGACCGGATCTGGGAGGCAACCACACGGTACTACGAGGTACATGGCTGAAAGCCTGCACAGACTCCCAAATGTACCTGCATGTACATACGGCACTGCTCGTCAACATAGCACTCAGCCGGATTTCTTGCCTGCATGGCGTCTATCTTGCCATCCTGCTGGGAAACAGGTTTTCGTCTGCAGGACAATCGAACCCTCGTCGTTCCAAGCATGAGCGCTCATACGGGCAGTTGCGCCCTTCTGCGCATTGCCTACCAAACACAGCACCCTTTGCAGAGGCCAGTCCCCGAGCACGTCGTAGAGGCGGAAGGCCCAGCAGAAGTCTCGAAGCTCAGAGTCTCGAAAGCCACACCTTTGACGCACCACACCACACCTGGTTCCCCCATGCACGGCTTGGCCAGGAACGCAAATCCTTGCCTGTCAGCTAGGAGGTACGACTCCGGAATTCCGTCCACACGTACCCTCTCTTCCGGTTCTTCACCTGGTGCTCAGCCACATGACATACGAACTGCAAGACTGTCAACGTCAGACATTGAGGAACCTCATATCAACGATGAATAACTTGAATAGCAATGACAAAGCAAAGGAGCCCAGTGCCATGGCTCTGCCGCACGCCGGAAGCTTCGCGCTTGCAGCAACGTGGTGTCTGAGCCGGAAATTTCAGCGGCGATCTTCGCAGCAACTCATCCATGGAATGCGGGCGAATGCAAGGTCATGCACCAAAGGCCATCAAAGGACCACACTTCCAAGGAGGCTGTCGAGGCCGAAGATGCCCAGCAGCCTGGGGTTGGAAGCTTTCGCCTCCTGCTGGAGATTAGGATGGATTAGGATGGACTAAAGGTCTCTCCGAAAGGTCGGACGAGCCGGCCTCGACGAGTGCGCCACCCCACCAACTGTAGTGGGAAACACATGGAACTTAATAAATTTGAGAGGGCCCTGGGGGGAGAGGAGTGCTTCTGTAGAAAGTTAAGACGCCTTGTTTACATGTCAAAGGGTCTCTACTACTCTCTGGGCAGGCATATGACCTTTGGCCCTCGATATTACTGGCTTGCCCGTCTTTGCAGGACTTGCGGAGGGCCTTAGCCCACACATTGCCGACTAGCATAAACGGCTGAGAAGTTGTGGTCACGGGAAGACCCAACAAACTCCGCCAGCTCAAACCGCGACCAGACAGTCTTCACTGGTGAGCGATTGTCTAAGATCATCGGTGAACAGGCGCGTGTGTGTAGGTCACAGCACGGCCGAAAACGTTGACAAAATCAACCCTGAAAAGTGGAGGCACCTCCACGACGCACGCCTCCAAATGCTGTGCGATTTCATTCCATGAGTTCGCACTGCTCGGAGATCAAATCTTTCGGAGATTGGGCCAATCATCTGAACAGTAGCCGATGGCCTGAAACAGCGGTCAATAAGCTTGGAGCTTCCTAGAGCGAAACTGCTGCGCCCAAGCCCTTCTAAATCCAATCTTCTCTGCCGGAAATTCCCCAGTCGCTGTCGCTATGTCTTTGCTACGGCGTTTGATCTTCTACCCGGGCAGCTTGGATGGCAGGATGTGGCAGGATTAGGCTTGCAGATTAGCTCATTGGGCACGGGCTGGCTGCCCTCACTCACATGGCAGCAGCCTGTATGATGGAGGCCACGAAGATCGCCATGCTGCCAACCACATCGGCCACGTTCGCTCCGCATAATGCCTGTCGCTTACCTCCAGTTGGGCTGAAGTTGGTCGATCGATCAGCCATGAACACAAAACCCTCCCACCTCGCTGAGGGCAATCCACGAAGGTAAACGACAGCATCTGTGCAGTGTAGGCAAAGGAACCGATCACGTAAAGGACGTCCACCGCACATTCCTCAAGCAGTTTTGGAGCAGCTTTGCAAAAGCAACAAGATGCGTAGGGTCCTTACTGTAAGGTCCCTCCAGCACCGACCTGTCAAAGGCACGTGGTCCGGGTTTTGCGGCTTAGTTTGCTTGCCCGAGCCCAAGAGGCTCTTTGTATGGCAACACCACTATACTTCTTACTTGTCTATGCAGTGTGGCCATATTAGGTGGCACCATTGTGGGAAAAAATCAGCAGCGTATGACACCGTCTCGGGGACGCTTCCGAAGTCAGCTTGCGACCGCCGGACCCACGTGCTGATTGCGACCAAAGGAGCCTTCCGATTGCCGCAGGAGCGAGCAGCATCATGGATGGAGAGAAATGCTCGTACGAGCCAAGCCGCAGCGTCCACACTGTTGAAGACACAATTTGCGATCGCAAAGCCTCTTTCCCTGCCTCTCCTTCTGAGTCGGGTAATATTTCGAATCTTCTCGATCGTCTGGTCGTCGTCCAGGAGTCGCGTGTCAATTCCGGCAGTCGCTGCTTCGAAAAGGACGTTGGGCAAAGCAGCGTGATGCTTGTCGGGCCGCTTGCTGCTCTTGTCCTGCAACCATCTGCGCACATCCGCTGACTTGTTACGATACAGCTCGGTTTTGTGGCCATCATCAGAGGGGCTTGAAAGGACCTTGAACTCGTCCAACCGGCCTCGGCAAAGCCAAAGAAAGACATAGCAAGACTGTCGGAGGATCTGGAAAAAAGACCTTCAAAAATTGAAACAGCATAGAAACGGCCTGCCACTACCAGTGCGGACACAGTACGTCTTTGCGATTCTGGTGGAAAGGGCTGGTTCAGCGAGTAGATCTTCTCCAATATTGGTGGGATCTTTCTTCTGTCCTGGTAGACCCGACTGTCCATCAAAGGCCTCATTGGAGCCAGTGGTATCAGGTAACAAGCAGCCTCAGAAGCGGACATCTTGATGTCCCCGTTCCCAAAGTTAAGGGCAAGGCTTGGTCAGGAGGCAGTCCTCTTTAAAGCCAAAGACAGTGGAGCCCGCGGCTGAGAGGTCGCGGAGCCTTAGGTCTGCGCTCAGCATCCCGCCCGAATGGCAAAAACAAGGCCGAGGCACGTGGCGGCAATGCAGGCGCTTGCGGGATTCAGGGACTCCGCACAGGACGTGGAAGCGCTAGCCAGGAAGGAGCCCAACCAGGTCAAAGCCTCAAGAGGTCACCGAGAGGCATCACGTTTGAATTGCAAGTTCTGCTTTAGATGTCTGGCGCCGAGCCACGGTAACTGCGTAGGCGACAGGTTCCGTACACCCCAAGGGCTCGGTGTCAGGGCAAATTGCAGCCCTGTAGATGTAGACAATCGCATTCCCCAAATACATCATTGCTTGAGTCACATCAACGACGCAGGTGGTTTTAACGACCTCAGGGTTGCACGGGGCGGGGAACATTAGACATGCAGCTTTCCTGGCAGTTTCAGTCCCACGAACAGCTGCCCCACACCCTGGCCTGGGATTCCTCGGGCTCCGAGCTGTAGGGCACGTTGATGTCGTCAAAAAGGCTGACATCGAAAAGTTCCCGCTCTAGGAGGAAGCTAAAGCGATCCAGTTCTGTTGAGCTCACATTTCTTGCAGATATCTCTGCGGCTGTGTTTCGCCGGGGCTGAAGAGAGATCGTGCCGAGAATTCCAAGACAAAAGACCGCAGCGATGGTCAATGAGATCTTCCTCGTCCCCGGGACAAAGCCGGATGCAATGACGGCCTGGAGGTCATCAACAGAATCCTCGAAGCCATTTCCCTCGCCCTCTTCGGCCAGAAGGGCCATCTGACTGTACAAGGGACAGCTACACACAGCTGCCCTCTAGAGACAAAGCGGCGGCATGCCCAGTGCTCAATCGCCTGATCTTTCCGAAGCATGAAACTCTCAGTTGTGCGCCCCCTATATCGCCCTACCTCTCATCTTGGGTTGGATACCCCGGGTTCGTAGCCTGCTCTCCGCTCAGCCCCTCGCCATGCTGGCTACGTGCCGATCGCCCAAGCTCGCACTTCCTTGCGAAGGGTCGAGCTCTGTCGATGAATCTGTCAGATTGCCCACACGTGGCCGACTTGTGGTCCCAGATATTGACAGATGAGCGCCTGAACTGAAACAAGCATGTTCCCCTGACCTGTAACATTGAACATCGTAGGCCCCGCGAGCAAACTTTTTGTCTCTGCAGGGTCGGCTTCCCACACTCTGCAGGTGGTACCCCTTCTCAACTCGCTCACTGCGAGAAAGGCGGAACACGAGCAGAGGCATCGCAAACGCCGCTCTGGGACCAGCTCTGCCTGTTGGCCGAGTGCTCTAGCGATGACGATTTTGTCTGGGCGTGTGGGTTCCACGAGAGGCGCAGGCGGTGCGTGCTGGCACGAGGCACTCAGATAAAGTCGTGTGACTTGTCCAGCTGCTCTTTGCCTCGCAAGACTTGTCTCGATCCCAAACACTAGACGGCAGAAATCACAGTCATGCGAGGCTGTAGTGAGCAGTGTGCATGGAGTTAGTGTCTTGTTGGCACGGAGAGATCCTGTCACCTCATCGACAGCCAGAGGCACACGCCTGGGTCTTCGATCAAGCGATGCCACTGATCAGAAGTGCTGGACTTCCGCAAAGTCACGGACACCTGACATAATTGGCCGTGGGAATGCGTGGCTTGCGCATGGTGCTTCCTTGGTCACTGAAAGCCGCCCAAGCCACCAGGCTCACATAACAAGTTTAACAACACCCGTCCTGCCTTGTGGCCGCTTGCAGACAAGGAGCACTTGCAGTCCTGCCCACAAAAACAACCCGAGTCAGCACCAGGGGCACAATATGTATCCTCACGTCATCAGAGCGCAGGAGTCACAAACTTGGAGCTTGCCTGCCTTTGCCTGCACGGGGCCAAACAGACGCCCTGAGAGGCGCCAAACGCGGCCACCAGGGCCAAGCAAGTAAAGCGACAACCGCCGCTCCTGGCCACAAGCACCCCCAAGAAGGGTTATCAAAGGCAGCTCCAAGCTAAACTCCACTAAAACTCCAAAGATGACTTGACCCTGGTCTCATGTCAAAGTTGATCATCTAGAACGACATCTTCAACGGCATCGGCTTAGACACACCTGGAAAGAAGCGTAGGCATCGGCAAACTGGTCGATCTGCAGCTCTTCCGCCTTGACCTGCAAACCCTTTCTCCTCTCATCCCATGCTCCCGGTCTTGCATGACTCCGTTAAGTGCACTTTGGACTAGAACATTTTGGCCGGCTTTGGCCCGTCAAGAAACATGCAGAATCATCTTTAAGGGATGATCGCATAGCAACTTGCAACCAAGAGTCATAGATTTTCACCGTTCCTGCGAAGGATTGGCTTTGATAGCAAGGGGTGTCCGCAGCATCCCTACATCCCAAACACTGAAAACCGCTTCCGGGTGAAATATTTTTCATCTCAGAGCTGTATTATTGTTGTTCTCAAAAGAAGCCTACAGCGACCTTATGGAGTTCTTACGTGAGGTGTCAATTCAGAGACTTGGTTAATCACGGCTCCTGCAATGGCGTGATGCACATGTTCGGCATGCACCGCGAACGCCGAATCCATTGTTGAATCGAACACTTTGTCGCTGCAAAGCCTGTACACATTTTGGACTGTCTTTGGGTGGAAATTGGCAGTCGTGTGCCTGCCACAGTCCCGTGCTCGTTTTGGCCTTCCAACCGCTCGTTCATGCGTGATGCAGCCAATCCCACTCACATATTGGGAGCCCCAGGTGTGCTGTTGGCATGGTCCTTGCGTGCGTAGGGCTTGGACTGGAGTGCCAGCTGCTCGCTATTGCTGCTTTGCGGCCGTTCTTTTGCAGCCGACAGTCCGCCGTCCTACTAATCCCAAAACCCTGCTGTAGCAGGCTGGTCAAAACACATCCAGTAGAATAGGCGAATTTTGAGGATGGGTGCCATTGTTGAAGTCGCAGTGGACACGAGCACCGCATCTCAAAACAGGTCCTTTCTCGCTGCCTTCGTCAAGGAACATATATTTGGTCCTGAGCTGGACCCACCAACAACGGTTGCGAAAGGGGTCGCAGGCCGAGTCTGTCTTGACACTTTCATACATCTTGAACGTCGGAAATGGTTGGGTCGCAGACATCTGCTCCGACTTTCGCGAGATCCACTCAGGCTGCTCCGCAGTCGATGCAGCTTCGTCGTCCTGTCTTTTGATCTACGGAAGACACATTTTAGCAAAATTTGGCGGAGTGGCAGCAGCCTCACTATCTTGCAACCCGGCATGGACCTGATTGATGCGTTGGACTTGTGATGAAGCATTGCAGCGCAACTGGCATGAAAAAGCCCTTGAAATTCCCGATTCTGGCACGCCTAGCAATCAGAAGATCGTCGACCCGACTGCATGCAAGCTACCTCAACATTAGTTCTGGGTGTAGTTCTGGTCGGGGGGATCAGTGCTTTTCAAAACTGACGGGCTCCATTGTCAAACACGGCAGGCCACGAGATTTAATCCCCCTTCTCGGGGCGAAGTGCTCTCGCCTCAGCACCAAAGGGCATGGAACGTTTCGGAATTGCGCTGGCAAAACCGGACAGAGCCCTAAGCAAAGGGCTTTGCCCTGTACAGGTCGGCACGTTTTCCAGCTCCTGGCGTGGTCATCACAGCGGTTTGTCAGCTCCCCAAAAAAGGCTCACCTCCTCGGAACCGGCAAAGAATCTTGACGTCACTTTCCGGACCTTAGACACGACCAGCGCAGACACAGAACTCTCCACCATGATTTTACGCCATTCAGGCAAGTGGCTGCGGTACCCAGATCCTCCAAAAGCTCCGCAGGAGAGCCTGGTTTAAGCAGCATTGCACAGCGACTGCACAGCCATGCCGGCTTGCCATCCGTGCAGTTGCGGGCCTCGCTCCAGAGCGGACTTCAGCGCCTGAGGAAGCCCGGCACATTGGCGGTGCATGGCCGCAGAGAACAGCAACTGGCAGTAGCTGTGAGATGAGATGGGCGAAGGTGGGGCTGAGGGCATCAGCCGGCCAAATGCTGATATGTACTGCTGCGCAGCAGGGCAGGGCATGTCCAGAGGACTTCACGACCGTAGCATCTGCTCGTATGTTCTTGCTTGAGGTGCATGGACAGCTGATAGAACCAGAACACGACGGGTATTGGCAGAACGTCGATGATGCCACACGATACCTAACGAACTAGGCACAGCATCTGCACAAAATCGGGAACCGCACCATCCGGCACAGGCGGAGATCATGGCCTGGCCGCTTCGCCGAGTCGGCGATGCACCAGTCTGTACTGCTTGAAGTGGACTAGGAAAGTTGGAGACGTTGCAAGTCCTGCTTCAAAGAGCCACCATGGTCCTAGCATGGCTTATCTTACGTGCCAGCACCGTTGACTTGAGCCTCTGATACAAGGAGCACAAGGAAACGCCGTCTCAGTCTCAAGGCTACCAGGATTTCCGTCGCTCGTGTAGACTTTGCCTTGAAAGTGAAGGCATTGATGGGCTGCTCGGGAAAATTGGCAACTGGGCGCAAGGAATCGAGAGATGTACAAGTGCAAGCAGTAAAGGCTGCGTCCCCTCACCAAGAAGCTCAAACAATTCGTCGTTTTCGTCACAGTTCATGCGCAGACTGTACAGCTCTCATGCTGGGACTTGGATCTGCACGGCCCTTCAGCTTCCTGAGTCCTGACGCAAAGTTCTCCAAAATCCGGTTCATCCGTTCTGTCTTTTCTAGACCCGCGTGTCCGCGAATTTCGTGTTGTGCCCATTGACTCATGCGAGACGACTCTGACATTTCGCTTTCTGCACCATGCGACTCACTTGAGCACTGGAGATGAGATCTTCCTTAATAACGTTGGAAGTGGATGCTGGCGCAGCGGCAGGTGCGGAGAAAGCTGGCATGGCAGATGGGCACATGGCCATAGCGGGACCCCGACCTCCACCTCTTCGTGCTGGAACAGAGGTGGCCATTCCCGGCAAGCCAAGCTTTCCAAGGACACCCGTCCCGTAGCCCATGTGCTGGGGAGCCTCCCTGCCGAGAGCCTCCTTGACATGTGCCAGAGATCGCTTCTCAGCGTCCAAGCCCCAGCAAGCTCTGTTTGCATGCTTCATGTGCCCATCTGTTTCCATCTGCATACTTCGCATGCCCCCAGCTCGCAGGTTTTCACAGGCTCTCGTCGATGCTTCTTCAGCGGAGATCTCGCGGCCAGCATGGCGCTCTTGGACTTGAACCTTCAGCACCTCCTCCTCGACCTTTCGCTGCAGCTTGGCCAGAGCAAGCTCTTCCACACTACCGTTGATGATCACGTCCGCCAGCAGCGCGGCCTCCAAAAGCCGGCAGGCTGGCTTGGTGGCGCAGCAAGTCTAGAAGCTTGCGCGGATCAACGAAGCTTGTCAAGGAACTGAGACAAGGAAAGGTTCTGCTGGGTCACTGGGACCAGACGATGAGAAGGCAAATGAGTGAATGAGTGGAGTGGAGTGGAGTGGAGTGGAGTGGAGTGGAGTGGAGTGGAGTGGAGCGGAGCGGAGCGGAGCGGAGCGGAGCGAGTGAGGGAGGAAAGATGTGAGTAAGATGGTGAAGGCACCAAGATAACGAAGACTCGAACGGACTTCCAAGTAAGGACTGCTACAAAATGACTCCCGGAAAGAACTTAATCTAGGTTGATACATAGGCAAAGCCTCCCGTGAAACACAGTCGAAAGTGCCAAGCAGTTCAGATCTATCTGGGAAATTCTCATGCCGTGCCACGATCTTGCCTTTGACCTACTGGCTGTAGCAGTGTAGAATCAAATGCGGCGAAGAAGCAGAGCTCAGGGCTACAGCTTGGCCCCCGGTGATTTCCGCCACGGTGCAAAGAAAGTCTCGTGCGTGGGCATAGCTGCCCAATGCCGGCTCGCAACCAACACTGTACCTCTTGAAAAGACGGTGCTTGCCAAGATTCCACAGATGTGACATGACAATCGTATCCCATTGAAAAATTCTACCGCGACATGCTCGAAATCCAAGGACGGCACGCAGTGATGCCGTGCGCTGCCATGCTTCGGAGGATGTCCAGCGGGTCGCGACCATCGGGGTCGCCATTGGGGAAGCCGTCACCAGCCCTTGGCATTTCAACACTCCCGACATGCCACGTGACACGTATGTCTTTCTTTGCTTCGATAGTCCTCTGTTGCGGCAGGGCACGGCTCCAGCCCATGTGGCGGGGCATCGGCGATCAGGACCTCGAACTGCAGTGGTCACCAATTTGGTGGCAGTTTGGAAGCGTTCAGCAAAGAGGCGCAAATCTTCGTCGAGTTTGGCCGCCAGGGCAAATGCAAGGCATCGTACAGGCCTGACCGTAGCACGACAGCTTGGCCTAGGCACTCTTCCCGTCCAATCATGACCTCACTCGCTGCATGAAACTGCAGACCCTCATAAAATTTGGTGCCTTCTGAGCTCTCAGTAAGCACTCGCCCTCCCCGTCCCATGGCCTGCAGTCACTGCTTCCGGTCCATCGCCTCCGCCACTGGCCTGAGCACAAGAACACTCTCAGGGCTTGAGAAACGTGCGCGGCATGTCTTGGCGCCACATATCTTGCCCAAGTGCCTTCATGGAGTCGACATACTGGGACATCTGGGCCAAATCGGTCGTGAAGGGATGGCATTGTGTGATGTAGGTCTTGTCCTTGAAAGGCTGCACGACTTACGCACGCACTTTTTCCTCTTATCTACCTTAACTCCAGCGCCCGCCGCAATGAAGACATGTCCAACAGTCTGTTCAAGACATCTTTAGCTGCGTGCCTGAGGCGGGTGGTCGCGGTAGCAAATCAGGCCAAACTGAACCTGATCTTGCACCGAGCTGAAAACGCGACACCGCGTTGCAAAGGAGAGCTGGCCTTGGCACCATGCTTTTGCGAAATCTTTGCAACGATGGACTGGATGTTGTCCTCAAGCGATCAGCAGACTCCGCGATGACTTGCAGGAACATGTCCAAGTGTATCGAAACATGGTCCTGCGCTGCCTTGATGTATTGACCCATCGAGCCGGTGCAGTCGCCTTGCTTACCAAGAATCTATAGGTTTCACCGATCGCAGGCTGTCGAATGTGTACCGAGTCACAGATGAAACAAAGATCCAATTCGGCGTCAGGGTCCAGACCAGACGTTCCTGTCCGTCAGTGGGCAGTCGATTTGTTGCTCGCATATCCAGGCCAACCTAGGCAGCTGTCCTGTCTTCTCAGCATCATCGACGAGAATCCATTCCTGCTAACAGCACAGCACGGCCGAGTCTGACCTCCTTCCCGGCAGGCCTTCTCTGAGCTGCGGCCGTCGGAGGACCCAGCAGGAGGGGCTGGCAACTTGCCATCGGCATCCACATCCATGGCAGCTTCAGCTCTGGCAGTCATCGTTGAGTCTAGAGTGGCACAGAAAGATGCTACAAGAAACCAAATGGCTGTGGTTCGAAGGCCGCTGTCATGGGCTGGACGATCTTACACAGCGAACCAGCCCAAGCAAGGGTTCCAGGATAAGAGCCGCACCCCAGAGATTTTGGTCATCAGCCAAACCCGCTCATGCTCAGCGCGCTCCTTCAGTAGCGATGTTAAACAGTCGTACCAATAGCCACAGCACTACGACTAAGTGGCAATAACTATCACTTCAACATATCTTCGTCAACCACTGCATGCATTGCTGACTCTTGCCGTGGAGTGCTTCTTCGGCGAAGTCTGCTCACGGTTGCGGGGCTTGTCTCTCGACCGAGCATCGAGGCTGCACTTAAGCGGCATTTTGTCCTGCGGGCACCTGTAAATTAAGCCGGCATTCATCCTGGCATACCCATCACGATCCACTGCCCCCCTAACCCTGCCGTTCGTTCCCGAGAAATATGTGACCCAAACTCCCAGACACTCACTCATGTGGAATCATTGACTTTCTTGCTTCTCTGCTTCACGCCCAAGCGACGATGTGAGAAGAGTTGGGAGCGATTGAAGGAACATCCACTACCACCGAACTACGATTATAGGGAAACTTTGCCCCGAGTCGACGGGCTGATTCACCCACGACCTGAAACGGTTGTGTACAGCTGCCTAGTCCTCTGGAATCACCGGGAAAGATCTGAGCGCTTTGCTTCCCTGCAACATGGAAATCACGTCATCAGCACAACCGGCCATCGATGCCCCTCCGCCTCGGTGCTCGAATGCCTCTTGCTGGTCCGCCGGTACGCCCTGAGCCATCACCGGCCAATCACGCAGCAACGATCCCAGGCGGTGAAACCTGTCGGAGCTTGGGCCGGTGCAGCAAGTAGTAGAAACCCTCCCACATCCAGCATCCGGCCTGAAGTACGGGCTCAACCCGCTCTCCGCTCTCTCTGCAACTACACGTCTTTGCACATCTTTACTAAGTGCGGCTGAAGCAGTGCAGAGCAGCCTGGACAGAGCCTATCTCCGACGACACTCCCTCCTTGTGCGGAGTCCTCAGGTTTCACTGTTCACGCATGGCCAAAACACTAAGTCTAGCACTGAGATCTCATGTGCTTGCACTCTCGTGCTTCCCAGGAGCATTACAAAAGTCTTTGCGTCCACGAACACCTTGTTGAGACTGTTTCATGAAGCAAGTAATTCTGCAAGGCCCATGAACGCTGCAGTTGTAAAAAAAGAAAGTAAGCCCTCAGAAGCAGATATGGCCACAACCTTTACAGCTGGTGGTTCGACTTCTGAGTAAGATCGTCTTCGAAATTGATGCTCCACAAGAAGCCATCTGCGAACATGTTCCTCCACATCGCAACAGATCTTGCTTGCTGTCACACACAAGGAGGCCAGGCAAGGGCAAAGTCAGTCTCGCTGCCTACGGAGGAGATAGGGACACACCTCGAACCATGGGGGGAGACGGCTGCACAGCCACAGCTTGGTCAGGGAACAGGCCAGACCCTGCAAATGTCGCCTGTGATTAGCACCCGCACCATATTGGAAGACACTGCTGCGGGTCAATAGAACAGGCAGATGCTCGCTCTCTCTGCCAGCTTCCTTTACAGCCAGATGGCCAGAAGCAACCACTGCTGAGTATCTAGCTGGGGCGACAGCACTCCACAGACACGTTTCAACAACTTGCACAAGGTCAGGCACTCCGTGTCGTGCCCCGTCATGCATCCAACAGCATCTGTCTTCATCGCAAGCACATGCTCATCTTCATCGTAAGCACATGCTCAACTGCTGATGGTGTGCAAGTGGAATAACTTTTTGTATAAGGCTTGGACATTCAAGACAGCTGGTGCATGCACAGACCCTGCAAATATCGCCTGTGATTAGCACCCACACCATATTGGAAAACATTGCTGCAGGTCAATAGAACAGGCAGCTGCTAGCGCGTTTTGCCAGCTTCCTTTACAGCCAGATGGCCGAAAGCAACCACTGCTGAGTATCTAGCTGGGGCGACAGCAATCCGCGGACACATTGCAACCAAGTTGCACAAGACTAAGATTTAGATGACTAAGTTGCAACTATGCTACCTGCTACTGCTGCCAATGGAGTACTTTTTGCATAAGGCTTGGACAGACGTGATAGGTGCTAACTCAAGACAGCTGATACTGCACTGCGAAGATTGTCGCCAATGGACCTCTTGCATGCTTGAACAAACCCTGCAAATGTCGCCTGTGATTAGCACCCGCACCATATTGGAAGACACTGCTGCGGGTCAATAGAACAGGCAGATGCTCGCTCTCTCTGCCAGCTTCCTTTACAGCCAGATGGCCAGAAGCAACCACTGCTGAGTATCTAGCTGGGGCGACAGCACTCCACAGACACGTTGCAGCAAGTTGCAGAAGATTATGCATTGAGCTAGAACCTCCGCGTAGGGAGGAACGCCATTGCTGGCTGTCCGTTTGGGTTGCGTCTTCAATATTATTGATTTCACCCCCCCATACCCCCCGCCCCCGCAAGCACTGTAGAAAGGCTCGAGTGCATCCTGGCATGGATTGCCACCCCCGCTCTCCGGCTGTCGGATCTACAGCCGGGTCTCCCACGCACCTTCACGTTTCGGAAGCCACTGCTGAATGCCAAAAAGCGGCATAAAGAACGCTCAACAACGGGTCTTGCTTGCTTGCGTGCTTGGACCAACGGGTGCGGGCTCTCCTCTCTCTCTGTCTCCCCACGGCAAGTTCGAAGTTCGGAATTCATCATTGTTGTTGACATCGGCACCCGTTCATACTAAACTTTCACGATTCCCCGGGTACATTGGTCACCTGTGGGAACGGAATAATACAACTAGTCGCGGGCACATCAGAAATCAGCACAAAACTCAAAACAACACAAACGGAGGAGTAAGTTGCTTATATGAAGCTATGCCGATAGTCTTGAAAGATTTGTGAATGCTTTGCAGTCTTGTTATATCCTTCCTGGAACACACAATCAACATGGCGACGTGCAATACGCCAGACAAAAAACCCTTGCGCTGGACGGGGTGGGGCATCTTCTCCCTCGAGCATCTCGAAACTAAGTGCACTCCAGGGCCATAGATCAGCACAAGATGTCTAGTCCAAACAACACTCTAACATCAACAAAAACACCCGAGCTGACCTCCCCCGAAAATACAACGATGATGTAAGATCGTTCCTGCAATCATTTGACATCTATCGGAAAAATGCAATCGAATTCCCTGTGCGAGCTCACAGAATTGCATGATGGGACTCTGGCTCACCTACAACACAGGATAGCACATTGGACATTGGAGAAACATGGAAAAACATGCACCTACCAACAGCACCCGTAAACCGTCTTTCCTTGCTTTGCTCCGGGGTAAGGAAGGCTGGCAGACCCAACCCGCCGCTGCACCCCATCCACCGTATGGTTCGTATGGGCTCGGCTGTATCAGGCATGTGCCCAGGGAAAGAAAGGTAAGTGCCCGCTGAGTTTTCGGCCCCACCAGCCTTCAGCTGACCACTGTGGCGCTCCTAGTTGTTGACCAAGTTACATCCCAGCTTGCATTGATGACTA